TGTGTTCTCAGGAAGACTGCGGCCACCACCCCTACCCAGAGAACCTCTGCATCTGGTATTTCTGCTCTCTGTGCTTGAGACTGGGAGGTTTAGGCTGAGATAAGTGAGCTCTGGGCCATGAGAGGGTAGGTCCCGAAGGTAGGGGAACTGTACAGATCAGCAGAGTAGGATAGTTGGCAGCAGGGACCTCAGTAGGGAACATGCCCATCTCCCCTCTGGCACTCATCACATCTCCCCTACCAGCCCTCCTCCTCCTCCTCCTGCGGGAGGTGCTAAATGGGACTTTGGGATCTTTCACCTGCTGTGCCCAGTAGTTCTGAAGCCTGCTTGTGGAACAGTGTTTTATGTTTATCCCTGTTTACTGAAGACCAAATACTGGTTTGGAGGCAACTTCCATGTCTTGCTCTTCTACCTCCCTAGTTAGTGGAAATTTGGATAAGGGAATTGTAGGGCTTAGATTCTGGGGGTTTTATGTCACTGGCCACAGAATAACTGTCTCTAAGCTATCCATGGTCCAGTGGTCGCTGCCAAGTCAGTAGACTTCAGAGAGCATTTCTCTCCTGTGGTGCTTATGGGGACAGGGGGCAGGTGTGGCTTGCTTGGTGGCCTCATTCCATGTGTGCCTGTGCCTGGGGCATGGACTTTGTTAAACAGCCAGCAGTGAGGTCCTCATTCTCCAGCCAGCCTCTCTGCCCTGGAGAATGATGAGCTGTGTTCTAAGAATTTGAGAACTAGAGTCCTCACCCCCAGGCTTGAGGGCACATGACTTTCTCATGTAGGGCTCTTTGTGGTACCTGTTGTTTTGCAACACGACCATTTTAGTAAAACAGTCCTATTCAAGTTGTATTCTTTTAAGTTCTTTTATTCTCCTTTCCCTGAGATTTTTGTATATATTGTTCTGAGTAATGGTGTCTTTGAGCTGATTGTTTTAATCAGAGCTGGTACCTACTTTCAATAAATTCTGGTTTTGTGTTTTCTTTTGTAATCACTATTCATCCTGCCTGTCCTCTCCAAGCTGTGCTCCGTGGACTAGGGAGGCAGCAATTGGTGTGGGGGTCTTTGCACATCTGCTTTTCTCAGAAGATATGAAAACCTTTGCTTCGGACATAATCATTCTGGTATCTGAAAAAGGGGCTTACTACAAGATCCAGAGCATCAGTACCTTCAACCCCCATCAGAGCACCCCCAGCACCTTCATTCCATGAGCTAGAAACTTGTATCTGGGAGGACAACGCCTAGGGTCTCTATAATTTGTAGTGGACTTTTGTTGACCAGGAACAAAACGGGGCAAGAGTAATTGGGTGATCATGAGTCTTACTTCCCAAAGTTTCTGAGGCCCTGGCAGATCTGCCTTCCCAGAACTCTCTAGGCTGAAAATGATCAACCTAGAGCTAATGATGCAAGAGAAGACAACCTGGGGGCATACTTAGCCAGGTCATTGGGCATTAACAATTTATAGACTAGGAGCCTTCTGGTAGTGACAGCATTTGGAAGAAGGGTTACTCAGTGCAAATAAGCAACCCAGACTATACGTCATCAGGCCTAAAGAGCCTGATACCAAGGAAACACTTAGGATCCAACATGCTTTACCCAGAACCAGGTTCATCCCATTTCATTCAGTCTGCACCACTGCCTAAATCACCTTGTAGGAAATGCATGTTATGCAGCAGGTGCCTGATTAATGCCTGGGACTGAGACATGACAGTTCTTCATTTCATATAAGGGGCTGGCTTGGAAAGTAAAGAGTTCCCCATCCCAGGATTGATTGATTGATCAACTTTTGAGACAGAGTTTCACTCTTGTTGCCCAGGCTGGAGTGCAGTGGTGTGATCTCGGCTCACTGCAACCTCCACCTCTCAGGTTCAAGCAATTCTCCTGCCTCAGCCTCGCAAGTCACTGGGATTACAGGCGCACACCACCACGCCTGGCTAAGTTTTGTACTTTTAGTGGAGACAGGGTTTCGCCATGTTGGCCAGGCTGGTCTCCTGACAGGTGATCCACCCACCTCCGCCTCCCAAAGTGCTGGGATTACAGTTATGAGCCACCATGCCCAGCCACATTCCAGGATTTTTTAAAAATTTTGTTTTTTTATCATTTGGTATCTTTTGTTGATTTGATATATTTTGCAGAACTTATGTCCCTACCATCCCAGGATTTTTAAGTACAGGCTGAACTATGTCACAGGGCTGGGACAAAGACAACCTAAATCTCACTGCCAGCCCCCAGACATACTTTCACACTCAGGTTGGGTTTGGGTTTTGTTTTGTTTTTCCCAAATTAGTTGCTGACCATTTAAATATGGGGCGATTACACAAAGATTGCTAGCCTCTGAAAATAAGATCTGACAGCACGGGTTAACAGTTGGCTAGAGCTCAGTAGCAGCTTTCCTTGGCCCACAGAGAATCCTCTTCCAGTTCAAAGCAATCCTGATGAGATTACTTCTTCCCTTGATGTTACCGGCCTCATCTCTGTAGGCAATTTAGTTTTTACTGTCTGCTGTGGAGAGAAAGCATAGAAAAGTAGGGCTGCCCCAGGTTGAAGGGAGAATGGAGGCCTGCAGTCCCTCCCTAGGGCCCCTGAGGCAGTCTTAAGGAACCCCAGAGGTCCAGTCAACTAAGTTCATTCTTTGTCCTACAGGGCTCCTGTTATTTCCAAAAGCCCTACTTGGGGCTTCCTACTGAGAGGATTACAAATGTATTATCTTGTGAAGAGTTAGATTACATTACTCATATGAAGAGTTAGCTCGTGTGTGTGTGACAGGACATCACCTAAGCATTT